GTACTAGTCGGAAAGTAACTGTATATGTTTCACACAAAAGCCGAGGCGACTGCGTGCGGACTCATGTACTTGTGCAGGGAAGGAACGAGAGAGACTGGAGGTGGTGACAGAACAGTGGCAGAGTGTTGTCAAGGCGACAGATGCGGTGCCTGAAGTGGGCCCTCGAGGCTGAGGAGAGGCTCGCTGTGTCTCGCCTGCTCAATGAGAACGAGGCCACAATGGGCTGCAGGTTTGTCAAAAGCCATTAGCACGTGGAGGATAACGGGAAAGGGGTGAGATTCCTGTGTGTACATCCTGATGGAGGCTACCTCTGGAAACCCTCAGGCACAGCTACACTGCCAGAGCTTGCTTAGGTATAGATTTTTGTTATGCATACACTACAGTATAAAAGTTTTCAGTCAGTATTTTTTTATTATTATTTTTTTATTCCATTTTAAATCCCGTTCTTTTGAATTTTCAAAGAATCCTGAAAAAATGTATCCCATTATCAATATTAAGCTCTCTCTCTCTCTCTCTATATATATATATATGTATATATATTTGGCCTGTCAAATCAATTAATCGCAATTTCAGACCCAAAATAAAACTTTATGTTTACATTATGTGTGTGTATTGTGTATATGTATATATAAATACACACATGCATATATTTAACAAATATTTACATTTATCTATAAATATATATTCATATTTATATGATTTATCATATATATAAATATAATTTTTAAATAATTTTTTTACTAAGTAATATGTGTGTGTATTTTTTCATATATTACATAACATTATATAATTATAATTAATATATTTAAAATTATAAAATAAAAATCTATCACGTATATCACTTTTACTTTTTTAAATTTTATATATATATATATATATATATATGATCATATTAATTATATAAAATAATTAAAATTATTACAGCTTATTTTTTTAAATAACAAATGCAATGTATTATATTTTATTTCATCCAAAACATTACATTGAAAAATATTTATTCAAATTATATATCACTTATATATCAGGTTTCAGTTATTTACATTTTCACACACATGCATTTTTTAAATTTTTTTATTATTCTTTTTTTTTTTGGAGCAGTCATCTTTTTGACTTCTGATTCACTGTTCTTGGGAAAAGCGGTTTATTATTTTTGTAATTTTGCCTGCTTCTATTAGACCACAACAACAAACGAAATGCATATTAAAACTTCTACCCAACTGATTCTAAGTGACCATGATGCCATGCTTCAGTTAATTTGTAACTGTGTGCTTCACTCTCAATCTGACCTCTAATGGAGCACATCTCACCGCTGATCCTGCTCTCATGTGACCCACTTTTTACAATGTGTGCTCGAGGAGTTTAGCCACCCGTCATGCTATCCCTGCCACACACAAAAAACACATCAACATCCTTCCAGGATTGCGTTTCGCTTGTCAGTCGGGGGTCAGAATGTAATTTCTGTCGGAAACCAGCTATGTAAGCCGTGCATCATCGTCCTGCTGCATCACAGAGCTCCTGGAAGGCAGAACAACATACTGCATTTGATGCTGGGAAAAACATTCGCACAACACAAGATACATCAAATATCAAATCAACAAACGGATACACGAGACAAAGCGCTTAGAAATCCACCAGGTTTTTAATTACAACCAGTATACAAAAATAATGTGACAGGACAATAATGGGACTTGGAATGTACACGCTTTTGTTTCCGCTCCAAATAAACACACCGCACAAGTTTAAGTGTTTTTGTTAGCACTAATCACATCTTTGTGATGCTAAAGCATCCTCTTCCTCTAAAACAGACTAAATATCTTCAACAATGAAAAAGCAGCAAAACAACCAGGAGGTAATGCAGGGCTGCGTATCAATTAGTAATGCTTTTTCTAGTTCTCTAATTTATTTATAGTATTCACAAGTAGCTGATGAGAGGGAACAGGCCATGAAAACACACGTGTGGAGTTGCAATTTCGTCTAATGGCTCCGAGTTGCTTTGAGACCGGCGGCAGATGCAAACTGGAGATGCCATAACCCATTTCTGTTGTCAAAAATTAAGAGTAGTGGTTGCGGACAGGCTGCGTAATTGCATGCCAGAAACATTGGTTTGTAACCTGGCAGTGTTCTGCCCGCTGTGGCACCGTTTTCAGAGAGGATTAGAGTCCCAGCGGTTCCCACCTCATCTGGAAGAGTCTTTCAGGGTTATAAAACCGCATGGCTGGCGAGGAATGGAGGAAACTTACATGAATCTTGATAATGTCTTTCACTAAACGGGATAATACTGGTGTATGTCAGTGTAATAGTTTCTCACGTAGCTTTTAACTGCGGAGAATCAATCCTGGATGGCCACAGTGTGTGCGGGGAGATCTGAGGGTGAATCTCACAAAAAACATGGCCTGGTTCATATTTCAGCCCAACATCAAAAGAAGAAAACATCATCATTTATTAATAATAATAATAAATAATGATATATGGCAATCAAAATTCATAATAATTATTAAAATGTCAATTTAAAAAAATATTACAAATTAAATAAAAATAAATGACCAAATTAACTCAATTAAAACGTGAACTTTACGCTATTAAAGCATTTAAATTTTACTTGAGTTAATTTGGAAGTGATATATTTTTATTTTATATTTTAAACAAATATTTTAAAATGTAAATAATAGTTTGATTAAATAAAATGTAATTAACACCATTACAGTCACGTAAAATAATGCCTATTTTCTTTGCCATAATTGAGATATTATAAATATTATAAAATATTTGTTTTAAATATTCAAAATATAAAATAAAAATAAGTCACAAAATAACTTAAATGCAAACTCTTAAACACAATGGAAGAGTTCATTTTGAAGTGATATTTTACTTTATATTATAAATATTTTAAAATTTTAATATTTAGATGAAATAAAAAATGTTATCAAATTAACATTCATCAAGAAAAAATAATTAATTAAAAATATTATAATTATTAAAATATTTTAAATATTATAAAATATATATATTTTAAAAATATTCAAAATATAAAATAAAAATAATTACAGAATTAACTACAATGTAAATTCTTTACACTATTAAATCAGTTACATTTTATTTTAGTTAATTTTAAAGTAATATATTTCTATTTTATGTTTTGTATAATAATAATAATAATAATTAATGCATACAGTAAAAAAAAAAAAAAGAATTCACATTTTGACCAATTCACTTCCAGGACTTGACTAAAATTTCCCTAATTGTCATACATTTCCAGGTCTGAAAATAACATTTAGAAAATGCCCTTATATTTCCATGTTTTCCATGACCCTGAGAACACTGTGATAATGCTACAATTGTCTTTGAACAAAAAGTAATGTGTTCTTCCTCTCCTTTGAGTCAGAGGCATCATACGAGCACGACATGAGCATCGAGATTCACCCGCTACAGTGGAGTGCGTGTGTGTGTGTTTATCTAGTGTTGACGTCTTGTCATGTTGAGGGGTGGGAGTGTGTGTTATGTTGAGGAGGATTGAGAGAGCAAAAAGTTGTCAGTGCAAAAGGTTAGTGTGCGAACGTCAATCCATACTGTACTTTCATCGCAGGCCGTGTGCCAGTTACTAGCTAGTGTGCATCCGTGAAGCTACAACTGGATTCCTGCCTGTCTAAATCACCGACTCAAGGCAGCTGAGATTATTCTCTTGTCTACTCTGGCCTATTATACTACATCTGCTTTTATATTTGGTGTTGGCCATAACTGACCACTACATCTGTTATTTACAGCACTGATAAATAACACTTTTCTCTCACTGGATATCTTGATGATACATATACAGTATATATATATATATATATATATCTCACACACAGGACAAATCACGTCAAGATACACACCATCAACACCTCACAGGACAGCACTGGTTTCCATCCATAGTATATAACAAACTAAACAAAAAGAAGAGAGTATAGTTTGTTCTCACAAGATTTGACAAAGATGTGTTGTTGTATAGCAGTTACGTGATATGATATGAACCTGTTGCAGTTTAAACACAAAAGAAACCGTTTGAGGCCAGGCAGAAGCGATCTGTGTTTTTCATACACAGTGACACAATCTGACAACACAACATTCAGAGTGAATGAATAACCAGTTCAGATCAGCTCGGAATGACATCCACAGCTGATGAGTTAATAATGACTTGCACCATAATGCGGAGCAATTTAGAAACATCACGTGGGGACAATTTGCTGTTGCTCAGGCGGTCTTGTTTTTCTTCTTTTTTTTAATATTGTTGATTGACTGCAGTCTTTAAGTCTGGCATTCATTTACAATATAGGATTTCAACATTGCATGAATTGTGGCGAGCTTCCAACCCTAAAAACACATCCCAGAAGGCACTTACATCAACCTATCAAAACACACTTTTTTTATTCATAATATTGAGAACATGTGGATAGATGGTATCTTTGATCTCCAAATATTAGTGGGTAGCCAGGCAAAGTCCAGGTTATATTTTACTCCAAAAATCTAAATCTGCAAAATTATATTGTTTAAAGTAAATGGGGCCTTTTTTGGCAATATGGCTTTATTTTCTTGACAATTAAACAGATGCTTCCCTAAACCGCCATTACTGTAATGTATTTTTAAAAGTAATTTTTAAAGTAGTGCGTGCATATATATATATATATAT